AGGTGAAACGTCAGGAGAAAATGCCTCTAGAACATGGCCATATAGCCCGAAAAAACCCACAAGAACCTATTATTATATTTATTTCTACTCCGCTTTATCTCCTCCGAAGAGGACTCAAAGCAGCTTAACATAAAGCGTCATCATGACAATTTAAGATATACAAATATACAAACATTAAAACAGGATTAAATATAAACAGTATTTAACAATTCCCAGTTAAAAACCATCAAAACCCACTCAAAGTTCAAAACCACGTCTTTTTTCCTCCACCTCCCGTCCCCGATTATTATTATTTCCAAATACATGACTCAGGGTTTTGTTGAGCAGTGTTTTCTCCCTTTGCTCCTAGACTGAATCAGGCATATTTCCCATCCAAGGAGGGCTGTGTTTCTGTGCTGCTTAATAATAAGCTATTAAATGATGTCTGAACACACTTATGTCTTCTTTTTTTCTGCCCCTTTTCCAGGTGTGCATAATTCCCAAGCTCTGCCTTTCAGGCCTGACAGACCAAGAGAGACAAAAAGAAGCATTTGACCTTTAAGGCAGAAAGCAGTATTGCAGCAAAGGGAATTTATCTTGCCTCGCTTCAAGACGTGAGGAGCTGTATATTGGAAATATATATTCATCTCTCTATATATATCTATATATAAACGTACGCATATACCTCTATTTTTTTGGGGAGAAGGAAACTTGCACGACAACGGCGCAGAAGCAGGCGCATGTCTGGAGCCATGAAGAAGTTTTTTGACTCTCGGCGGGAGCAGGGAGGCTCCGGCGCCGGTTCCGGGCCCCTCGGGGGGAGCGGAGGCAGCGGCGGGCCCGGCACCGGGTACATCGGTCGGGTTTTCAACATTGGGAGGCACCAGGTTACCGTGGACGAGGTCCTGGCCGAAGGTAAGGGGCCCCGGGCCCTGGCACCCTCCTCCTCCCACCCCCTCCAGCTCCTTCCCCTTCCCTGAGGATGAGCAGGAATTAATGGAAAGTCATTTGTGGCCTCAGTTTGGGTGCTGACTTGCCATCATCCCATTTCACTTTCTCCAGAGGGGTTGTAAATAGCTTTTGCTTGTTAAAAGTCCTAGTATGTTCAGGCTTAATAATGATAATGGATGACAGCTGTCTCTATTATATCTATATGGATATAGATACAGACACACGTATTATTTTATTCAATCAGCAGACCCAAGAAGATGAGCCCAGTATAATAATAATAATAATAATAATAATAATAATAATAATAATAATAGTAATCCAACATATATCTTGTTTGCTCTTACAGTCTTTGTTTTTGCGTCAGTAAAATAATAATTCTTTATTTATAACCTGCCCAATCTCCCCAGGCAAAGTGGTAAACATTCAATGCCATGATAAAAAAACAAACAGACAGACAAACCAAATCAAACAAATAAGTAAAGCAATATTAATATAAACATATAATAAACAAGCCAAAAATAAGGAATTGAGTAAAAATAATAAATCTATCATATACACACACATATGCACTTACATTCTTTTATTCAATCAGCTGACCCAAGAAGATGAGTCCCATACACACACACACACATACACATGGACCTGTATGTGTGTGTGTATATAATAATAATAATAATAATAATAATAATAATAATAATAATAATATTTTATATTCCTCTCTATCTCCCCAAAGGGACTCAGGGCAGATCAAAGGGACTATATATAGGTGTCTATGTGTGCACGCACACACACACACACATATACACACACATATATTCATATATTATACACACACTTTTATTCAATTAGCAGACCCAAGAAAACCCATATATACACACACACACACATATATATACATACATGTACACATGCATACCCATATATATAAATGTGTGTGTGTATATATATATATATGTAGGCGCACGTACAGACCTATATATACACACACTCACACATACCCATATATAATATATACACAAATACATATATACACACACTTTTATTGAATCAGCAGACCCAAGAAGACAAGCCCCATATCTGTCTATACATACTTACTCCCCCCCTCCCCCCCATATATAGCAAAAACGTTATGTAACTTCCAAAGCTGCATCGATGTCAATATTAAGGGGAGGGGAGTCAGTTTTCCCCCTTTCTTTGGTTTTGGGTGTTGCAAGAAAAGGGTTAATTGTATGTAAATAGGAGCGAGTTCCCCATCAAATTTTCCGGTGGCGAGTTCAAGGCACGCTCAAGTGACGTGTGTTTGTGTTGTGGGCTGCGTGAATCCGAGCCATCACGTTCAAGGTATGGCAAGCGGTTGGCCTAGTTTGCAAGCCAGCTTGCATTTTAAAGCTTCTCTCTGCTTATAATCTCCGCTTTGAGAGGGGAGAGGAGGCCCTACGCAGCTCCTCAATGTTTGCAAACTGGCTCCAGGGTCGCTCATCAGTGGGACCTTTTCCTTTCTTTTCCTCCCCAAGGGAAAAAATGGCATAAATTTAGCTTTGACCTTCAGGATCGTGCTAAATGTGTACTTGGACTTGGAGCAGAGCATCTGTTCCAAACAGGAGTTTGAAATTTAGGGCTTATAATGTAATGTATGAAGCCCAAGTCCCAAAGGGGGGGGGGGTGTCAGGATAATAGGATGGGATGGAGAAATCTCATCTTTTGCATGTTTTGCTTTATATTTCGGTTGTGACCCCTGTGCAAAGGTTTTTGCTTTTGCACAATGATGAAACAAGCCTTCTGGAAATCAAAACTGAGAGCAGAGGCCTGTCTTTAACAAGGCTGGGGCTCTTTGCTCCCTCGTATGTTTTTTAAAGGGATATTGACTTTGTTAAGGGCGGTCTCCCCTCTTTTTGGTGACCCAGCGTCACTGAAATGCTGCTTTGCTGGTCATGGTAAATTGCTGCAGGCGGTGACAGAGAGTGTGGGCAAAAAGCCAGTTCTTGTCATCTCTCTCTCTCTCTTTCTCTCTCCCAAAATAACAAAGCGAAATGTGAGGGTTTTTTTTTAATTATTTGGCAAGGCATGAGTTTAGCTGAATGGTTAACCGGCTTGCTTTTTGAATGAGGCCTTTTTTTCCATGGTGGTCTGGAGACCCAAGCCACAAATAAGTCTGATTTTCCTCTCGCTTCTTTCAGGAAATGTAAGACCTGCTGGTTGAATCCCTGATGTTGACATAGGCAGGAAATCAAGTCCTCCCTGTATTACTGGATTTCTTTCTCTCCCTTCCTCTCTCCCTTCCTTCCTCTCTTCCTCCTTTCTTCCTTTTCTTTCCTCCTTCCTTTCTTCCTTCCTCCTCCTTTTGTTCCTTCCTTCCTTCTTCCTTCCTCTTCCTTCCTTCCTTCCTTCCTTCCTCCCCTTTTCCTTCTTTCTTCCTCCTTCCTCCTTCCTTCCTTCCTTCCTTCCTTCCTCCTCCTCCTCCCTCCTCCCTCCCTCCTCCCTCCCTTCCTTCCTTCCTTCCTTCCTTCCTCCTTCCTCTTTTCCTCCTCCCCCTCTCTCTTCCTCTCTCTCCCCCCTTCCTCTCCTCCCTCCCTTCCTCCCTCTCCCTCCTCCTTTCCTTCCTTCCTTCCCTCCTCTCCTTCCTCTCTTCCTCTCTTCCTCTTTCCTCCTTCCTCCTCTTTCTCCTTTCCTCTCTTAATCCCTCCCTTCCTCCCCTCTTCCTCCCTTCCTTTCTTCCTTCCTCTCTTCCTCCCTCTTCCTTCCTCCCTCCCTCCCTCCCTTCCTCCCTTCCTTCCCCCCTTCTTTCCCCCCTCCCTCCCCCCCTCCCTCTCTCCCTTCCTTCCTTTCTGCCTTCTTCAACCTTTTCATGCCATGCTCTGATCTTGTTCTCTCTTTTTTGCGGAGCGTGGTACCTAGGCTTACAAAAGGCATCAAATTGTGCCTTTTGTAAGCCGCCCTGAGTCCACCCTCAGGGGTTGAGAAGGGCAGGGTAGAAATGCGCGAAATAAATAAATAGTGAGAAAGAATCTTGAGGCCTCAATGTTTGCTATTGAGGCCTCCAGATTCAGAAGCTCTTTGGATTAGAAGAAGAGCAAAGAATTGGTCCAAAATGGGAGACCTGTATGTCTAAAGCCCAAAGGAAAGGTGGAATGGGAAAGGAAAGGAGACAGAGAAGTGGAGAAGTGGGGGTGTCCAGGATGGGTGAAGGGCAAGAAAAAACGACTCTTTCATTGGAACATGAGGTGTGTGGGGGGGTTGCCAGATCACACTGCTTTAGAAGGTATTTCCCCTCTTTTGTTGGATTAAAGCAAAACTGGATTCCTATAGTCCTTGCAACTATGCTTCATGGCCTTCACAGGGATGGTCCCTTGTTATTGTACTCTTCTAGCACCAGCAGCCCTTGCTCCAGTGGTGATCCTCCATTAATCCCACAATGTAGCAGGATCCTCAGTCTTCTCCAGTGACTTTCAAGGGGGTCTCCAAGATGTCAAGCTGGTCCTCAGCAACTTCAGTACCTCGGAGAACTCCTGCAAGGCCCCTTCTACACTGTCCTTCTATCCCAGAATCTGATCCCATCTTATCTGTTTTGAACTGGATTATATGAGTCTCCACTGCCCTATAATCTGGCATAAACAGATAATCTGGGATCAGATCGTGGGATAGAAGGACAGTGTAGAAGGGGCCCAAGGTTCACTTGAACCTTGGCCCACAGACATAACTTCTGAGATGCATGATGACAATATGCAAGGTCCAGGATCCACTGCACTTTGCACCCTTTAACATGAAACTCTGAATGCTTTAGACGTAGGACTGCCTTGTTGCTTGAAGCCCTTCTGCATTCTTTTAAAAGGAGCCTGCTTTTCAGTTGCAGAACTGGTGGTCCCTGTTTTGCTTTTCCTTTATGGGACAAGGAAACACACCAGAGCCTGGCCTCAAAGGAGTGGAACTATAATTATTGTAAATTTCATAATTAAGCAAAAGAACCTCAAGGAGGACCTCAAGCAATGTCTGTTGACTCCCTGCTCTTTCCTTTCGTCTTTGCGGCTCGGGGGTCTTGAGCGGGACTGGAAAATGCCTGACTTCTTCCCACAACTGGGGACTCGGACTGTTGTGAATTCGTCGCTACTGTCCTGTGTCTTTACTGCGTTACAATGGGAAGAAAGGAAGCCCAGTGGTGCATTGACTCATGCCCCTTCTGCTCCCCAGTGAGTCATTTGGCTGACTGTGCACCTGGTGTTAGTCCTGCCCAGTGTAGACATGCTGAGTGGGATGATTTGTTGGAGGATGTCTATGAGGCCCAGACACCAAATTGTTCAAAGTGACCACGGGTGGCTCGCATGCATTTCATAGAATCGCATAATAGAATAATAGAGTTGGAAGGGGCCTCTAAAGGCCATCTAGTCCACTCCCCTGCCCTGCAGGAAAAGCACAATTAAAGCACCCCTGACAGATAGCCATCCATCCTCTGTTTAAAAGCCTCCAAGGAAGGAATCTCATTCACACACTGAGGCAGAGAGGTCCTCTATTAAACATCACTTCTTACAGTCAGGAAGTTCTTCCTAATGTTCAATTTTTTCCCCACTGTCATGCGGCGGCAAGAAAAGCCAACAGGATTTTGGCCTGCACCAATAGGAGTATAGTGTCTAGATCCAGTGAAAAACATGCTACCCCTCTGAAAAGAAGCAAGGGAGCGGAGGGATGAATTATTGTTGCCACCAACTTGAAAGGAACCAGTATTCAGGAGATTTTACCCCAGTTCCCAATTTTAAAAAGAACTGGCCGTTTTGCAATGGAGGTTGCCGATTAGGAACCAAATTTACCATCAAGTTGGAAGGGAGGCTGTTCAATTGCACCTCCTCCTTTATAAGAAAGTAATAACTTAGTAGTAATTACACTGTATATACTGTAGCGTGACTGGAGAGAAGAATGTAGATTTATTTGGTTACTTTTCCCTGCGTTTCTGCCACCACGTGAGGTAAGTTGTA